GCTGGGAGTGTTACGGATGCGGTGCCCGCCCCTCCGATCCCTGTGTTGGAACTCACATTAAAGATCAGGGCCACATGTCCATCATCAAACCCGGGGAGATCAGGGTGGATGTGCTGGTTATTTCCAAGGTAAAACAACAGCAGGGTTTAAAAGGGGGGGGAGGGAGAGTTGGAGAAAAATAAAAAAACTTTCAAGTCATTTTTGGAAAAGAAGCAGGAGGAAAACAAAAGAAACCACCCAAAAACAAATCCAGAAAGGAGAAACGTGCTGGATTTTCTACAAACCTATTGCAATCGCTTGGAAAAAGATCTTTACCCGTGCTCTGAGCAAGAGCCGTACCGAGGCACTGGCATCCCTTGCTTTGGTTTTGCTACCTTACCCTGTGGCTGGTGGGTGTTCACCTCCAGAGCATCCAGCCAGGGCTGGTACCTGTTCCTCTGCACCATGTTACTTGAGGGACAACGCATCCCCATCGCTAAAAATACCCTATTTCTGCCTGTTTTCTGAACAATACTGGGCAAGAGCGTTACGCTGCTCCCTGTCTCTGCTGGGATGTTTTTCACCTCGGCCGGGGAGATTTCAGCTGAGGGATGGCCTGGCTGCGAAACCCCGCAAGCTCCGAGGGGACCACAGCGGAGGTTAAATATCTATTGAGGTCTTGCATCCTCCCCCACTCCCCCCTGAAAAATCAAACCTTGTAAAAACAAGCCTGGTGACGGCGTTGGTTTACTCTTCCCTGCCTCCTGTGTTCATCTCCATTAGATTGCAAGCATTTAAAGCAAAGGTTGCCTTATCCCTCACCTTCACGCAGCTCCTGGCACGTGGGGCAGAGGTTGGGACCCCCTGGGAAGGATGAGCTGGTTTGGGGGGGGGGGGCTCTATTGGGAGGGTGATTTACCCTAATTGCATCATTTGGCCTCATTTTTTTTTTCCCCTTTTTGTTGCTGTCTCTCCTCCGGATCTAAATCCTCAGCAAGAGCAGCGGGGACTGATGCAAACCTCGGGTACGTGGCAGAGCTCTCCCCATCGGTGCCGCAGGGCATGGGAATGGCCAGTCCTTGCAGGTGGATGCTACGCTAAAATCACCCAGTATTGCTTCCTGAGAGAAAAACGATATTAATTTTTTCTCTGTGTCTGCTTTTCCTCAAATCCTGTTGCTGCTGCTTTGAAATTTGGCCCTGGCTAAATTAGCTCTCCTAAAGGCTGAGCCGTACAGCGTAGATGCCCTCCTGTGGCCGTCGTCCTGCTGTCCTCCCACCCTGCAAACAGCCGAGTGCTCCCCGCAGCCTCTGGCACCCCTGGGAAGGCATCGAGGTGATGCTGGGCACCCAGCCCTGCTGCCCTGCTCAAAAAGGTATTTTTGAGATATCTTTTTTTGGGGGGAGGGATGGATGGGTTTGAAAGGGGAGTTGCTGAGTTGAGAAAGCCTTTCTTGTCAAAATTATGACCCAAGGATGCTGCTCAGCTGCCCTGGGTGGCCGTGGGGATGGATGCTGCTCGTTGCCGTACCCCACCACCACCAGCCCCTCGTTTCCCTGGTTTTCATCCTGGCTGCCCCCCACCCCGACACCCCCAAAGGGCAGTTCCTGCCCCTCTGAAGCATCCCCAGCACTTGGGCACCTCTTGAGCAACACGCAAGGGTGGTGCCCGCTGGGCGAGCCAGGATGTCTCCACCAGCAGAGGTGGCAACACTGATGATTTTCATCTCCTGAAGATGCCTCTGGGACAAAAAGGTCCCAGGGTACCTGTCCCACCCCCCTCCCACCTTACCTGGTCCTTCTTTCGGGAGAAGCGCTGGTGGCAGCAGCCGTAGATGGCCGCGATCAGCAGCAGGGAGACGGCCAGGGTGACGATGGTGATGATCAGGGGCGTGCTGAACTCATCGTTGATTACCATCTCCCTCTCCATTTTGTCATAGGTGATGTTGGCGATGCCGAGCTGCCACAGAAGGGATGGGTCAGGCCCCGAGGAGGGCTTCCTGTGCCACCCACCTTGGGGGGCATCCGCGGGGATGACACTGTGCCCGGGGCCCCACTTACCTCCTCTAACTTGTCCTTCTTCTCCTTCAGCTCCTCGAGGACTTTTTCAGGGTCCAAAGGGACTGGGGGAAGAAAGAGGCTGTAATGAGCACAGGGTTGGAGGGGGGCAGGTTGTGCCCCCATCTCCCGGTCAACGGGGTGACCCCCTTTCTGGAGGAGGTGGATGGAGCTGTGTGGGCATGGAGCCAACCCTTGCAGGTGCCTCCACAGCCAGACAAGGAGCTGGGACCTCTTCTCCTGGCAGGGGAACAGCCCTGGAGACCCCAGGCCCCACCATCCCCTAGCCCCGTGCTGTGCACTCCCTGGTGGGGGTCTCCGCTTCGGTGGGAGATTTACAAGTGAGACCAGCGAGGGGCTGTAACCGGCTACTCCAGGCCATGCCGGAGCGGTGCAGGATTAGTCCCCAAGGCCCAGCTGCTCTGCCTGTGGTCGGGTGCTGGAGGCTGGACCACCCCAGCCAGCCCCTGCCCTGATGACAAAGAGGAGGAGGATGGGGCTCAGGCCTTCCTCCCCCAGCACTAAAGCAGCGTGATGCTTCCATCCTCCCAGCACCCCGGTGCTAAAGCAGCGTTTGAGCACCCCTCGGCTGAGCGGGGTTTCCCCAAAGGGCTCCAACATGGGCAAGAAACTCCCCTCTGTGGTCCCTTGGGGAAGGATTTGAGCTGGGCACTGGGTTTTAACCACTTGGGAGGAATTTTTCCTCCTAGAGACTGGTCCCTGCCTTGACTTATCATGGATGGGAGAGGGATCTGATGCATTCATTGGGGAGCAAAGCTCATTTCTGGGGTCATTTTGCCTCTCCCAAGCCTCTGAGATGGGGCAACCCAAGGAAAGGAGCCCCTCGGCCGAGCTCTAGCAGTCCCCAAGGGCTCTGCCAAGCCTCAGACTGCATCCCCGTGCTGGGGTCCCCGACACTGGTCCCATCCCATCCCCCTCGGGGCAGGATGGGGGGATCATACTCACGGTGCACAACCGCCTGCACAGCCCAGTGCTGGGAGCGGGGCTCGCGGGAGGTCAGCATCACTGTGCACGTTTCCCTGCTGGCGTTGAAAGCGTGCTGGCCCGTCGAGCAGAAGCTCTCAAAGAAGGAGATGTTGATGCTGGTGGTCCTCCACTCGGCCTGCGGTGACAGCAGGGGCTCAGCACCGTCCTCCCACCCGGGGACCACCAAGGAGCATCCCGCCCCATTGCCAGGGATGCTGTGTCCATCCCCATCCTCCTCCACCCCTTTGCACTGCCCGGCCACTGCCGGCCCTCCCAGAGAACAGGAAAAGTTTAAAAGTAGTTTCTTTACGAGAAGCCGAGCTCTTGGCTGCCGTTCCTCACCGGGGCCCTGCGCCGGCCTTGTCTGAGGGCCGCAGCTTTTGGTCTTACAGGAATAGCAGGTTCCCAAGGGAAGCAGGGCGGGTGAGCTGGGGGAGGCCGAGGGGCCGCAGTGGGAGCGGGACAGGGCGGTGCAGCCCACCCTGTGCCCACACGGGCACCTGCAGCCCCACCACCACCCGCATTTCTATCCTCTGTCCCCACCAGCGTGGGTCGCTGTCCTCCCTAGAGCTTCCCCATGGCTCTGCGGAGGCAAGAGAAAGTGTTTTTTGCTTTTGGATAAACTGGAGCATCCCTGCAGGGTTTAGCCTGGACAGAGCCGGGTGGATGGAGCCCATGTCCCCTCTGAGATGTTCCTGAGGCTTTTTGCATCTGCTTGATGCTTCGTAGCAGCTGGGAGGTGATCGCTCTCCTGCATGCATAGCTCCTGCGAGCACGGATGCTGCCTACACAGGACTGCACGCACAGGCACTGCGTGCACAGGTCCTATATGCAGAGATGCTGCGTCCGCAGGACCTGTGTGCACAGGCCTTGCCTGCTCAGGTCCTGCCTGTGCAGGTCCTGCCTGCACAGGTCTTGCCTGCAGAGATCCTTTGCGCACAAACCTTGCCTGCATAAGCTTCTGCATGCACACGCTCTGTCTGCACAGGTCCTGCGTGCAGAGATGTTGCACATACAGCCCCTGCTTGTGCAGGTCGTGTACGCACGAGTACTGCGTGCACAAGCGCTGTGCGCACAAGTCCTTCGTGCACAGATGCTACGTGCACAAGGTCTTGCCTGCACGGGTCCTGTGTGCAAAAGCCCTCGCTGCACACTGAAACAAGATGCCAGGCAGCACGTGCCCTGGCTGGGAAAGGCTCTGCTCCTGCCTGCTCCAACACCCCAAACCTTCCCCTCCTTCTGCCACCACCATCCGGGCCAGGTCCCGCTCACAGGGATGGCCAGCAGCATCCCCCTTACTCCACTGCAAGGAGGGGAGCTGCCCAGCTGAGGAAGGCACCTAATCTCACCCCATCTTATCTAAATATTTGGGAAGCGGCGGTGGAAACAGGGTGCGCTTGCTGGGGCCGAAGACCGGTCCTGGGCACAGCTCCGAGGGTGAGCTCAGCATCGTGAAGCCCTGAATGAACCTGGGAACGGCTGCTGGCCCTCGCCTGTCCTTTCGCTTTGCGTGGGGAGAAACTTCCCCCAGGCCCCTCTGTTGGGTCCGTACCACCCCAGACGTGTCCCTGGGGAAAGAGCTGGAGGGGAAACCTGCCCCCAGCCCTGCGCCAGGGCAGCCCAGGGGCAGCAAGAGGAGACCTCGGCAAGGCGGCATCGCCCAGAAAGCTCATCCCCAGCGGGACAGGGAGGAGAAGGTTAACAGCTTGGTCGGGGCAGTGTTTTTATCATCTTCGGACGCTGGGTTGTGCTCCTACGCTTTAAATGTCCTGCAGTTTATCAATCCCTGCCTGTGCAGCATTTTCTGCTTGGCAGAGGCATGAAAAGCCTCTCTGCTGCCTCCCTGCATCCTCCTTCCCCAGCTTTTGCCGCAGCTCTGCCTTCCCCCAGCCCTTAATCACCCACTTCTCCTTCTACCACCCCATGGGGGGGGAAAAGACCTTTAAAATGCTTTTTTTTTTTGGGTGGGAAGGGAAATCAGATGTGAGGCTAAAACCCAGCTGAGCACCGAACCGCTTTGCTGCCGGACAGCGAGCGGTGCCTAAACCCTTTTAGAGGCTCAGCTGGAGGGATTTACCCTTTCCGGGGTTGGAGAGGGGCACGGTAAGGCCCGCTGCAGCTGGCAGGGATGCGCCGGCAGCGGTGCCGTGGCGCCGGCAGCTCTCCCCTCCCACCGCCGGAGCCGCTTGCATTCCTTGGCTGGAGTTGACAGGCGCTGCTGAGCAGCTCGAATCCGGTTCCCACACTGGCAGGGACCTAAAACTAACATCCCCAAATGAGGTAACAGCACTTGAGTCAACAAACTGGCCCCGCCAGCTGGATGGGGCGAGGGGACCGCGACCCTGCTCGATGAGGGGGTCCCTCCGCCTGCTCAAGGGACCGTCCTGCTGCCCCCAGACTGGTGGGTGTAACAGCAAATTCTCTCGGGCACCTGGGTGTGGGTCCGGGTGGTCCCAACAGCTTTTGCATCCCCCAGCTGGAGCAGGCTCTGGTCCTCCTCAGCATCCTCCGACTTGCCTTGCTGGGTACATCTGTGTCCCGGCTGGGGACACGATGGAGGAGCCATGCTGGCCCCCTGGGAGGTGGCCACAGGGTTGTGTGGCTCAACTAGAGCTTGGGGGACACCAGCCACCTCTGACATGGTCACGTCTTGCTTCTCCTAAGGCATTTTGGGGTTGGGATGAGGAACAGAGCAGCCATCCATCCATCCATCAATCCATCCCAAGGCTGGAGCATCCCAAGCAGCCAACGAAAACCCAGCTGAAGATACATTTGTGAGCCGGACCTTGGGAAAGTCATCCTACGTAATGCAAGGCATCGAGCTAATGAGCCTCGTTAAGAAACTCATTAAGATCCTGCTGTGATCAAAGGAAGGAGAAGGGGCAAAAGGGAGGGTGGGGGAACATGGACCAAACTTCAGCGCTGGTTAAAAGCATCACCTGAAGAGGAAGGATGGTGGGAACCAACCAGCCATAAAGCACCTTTGGTCCACAAAGTGGTACCAACCATGTATTTGGCTTTTTTTTTTTTT